CCCAAACGTTTCGCCGGCATTGTAGTCGGCATCGTCAGTGAGTATCGCCATCCTAAGCACCATACAGCTAGTCGTCAAAGAGACGAGTAGCTGTATGGTGCTTAGGATGGCGATACTCACTGACGATGCCGACTATGATGCCGGCGAAACGTTTGGGAATTTTCCACGTCCACGGTTCAACTAACGAGCTGGTTGGCAATTTTAGGTCCAAAACCAGGCTCTAGCCTAGTTAAGTCTTCTCTTTTTACTCAGAGGCTCTTCCTGTTCCCATTCCTTCTCACTCTTTCTTTCGCTCTCTTTCTAGTTAGAAGCCAGAGATAGTTCTTACTTAGTTTTCTACATTCGTTCATGTTATTCAGGATGTTCTTTGTTTTATTAATTTTAATCGACTCTCTGATCTTCCGATTTGCTGTGAAGTCCCCTATATCCGGCAAAACATTAGGATTTAGACCATTCCATCTGATGTCCTGTAGCGACCACGTGTTGAGCCACTTCCGCTTTCTGAATATACTAATCTTTGCAGTTGGTTCTGTGTTATGATAGCCTTTTATGTACTGGTCGAAAAGTCTCCCCCACATGAGCACAGAGCCATATGACAACCTGATCTGCAGAAGGCATCTAAAAATTCTCGTAAAGTAGGCATGACCGAGGAAAGCGATTTTGTTTCTTTATACACAGTCTTGACGCTCAATTTCCTTAGCAATTCGTCTATCTATCTTGAAAGCCATTCTAACTTATATTCCTGATGATTTACGTCCGCTAGATGTAAAATTCTCATTATCATTGATTTCATTACTCATATTTTGACACCATAAGTATGCTTCGATAAGAAGTGTAAAGGGAAAACCCGCATTTTTGGGTTTCCTTTATGCATCTCTTCCCAGATTTTTGCTTTCTTTAATAGCTAGGCGATCTAAAAAGGGTGTATTACTGTCCTTTTCTAACTCCCTAGTGAATTTACTCGCCTTATCTGACCTATTCATTCATTTAACCAAATCATGGAATGTATCCTAAGATAGAAAAGTGAAGTATAAGAAGTAAATATGATCTCAGCTGACCACCTTTTTCGGTTTAATATTCTTGGTCATTGTTCGTAAATAATGGTTTATTGCTCTAACGATGTTCATCTCATGATGGATGAAAGCTCAGTTTGAGGTCATCAGTGTCGTAGGACGGTGAGCCGAGGTCTACTTCTCATTAATCAACAGATAAACGTCCAAGTCAAATCTTCTTCGGTATCCAGTGAGGCCAATCCCCAAATCTCTTCCACTCGCCTTCTCAAACGAAATGAAAAGTATGCCAGTATCAAATGTGAGTACTTTTTGCCGAACCTTCCTTCAGCTTGACTCAACCTTCATCAGAACGATAAGCCATTTTAAAGTCAAATTTCCACAGTCTCTTAGTTACAACAATGATCCCATCTACCAGTTTTCATCAATCCGCCAGTCTCGTACTTTGTCACAGTTAAAGTCTAACACTTCATACCATATTGTTCACGTGCTTCCACTTTACCGATGTCTAACAATGCGGGTTTTCGAGCTCCTACGAATAAAGTGTGTATACTAACATGCCTGAATCTACACCCTTGCTCCATTCGGCCTGTTGGTCGTTGTCCACATCGATTTAGATGCTCCAAGACTCTGACCACTTTGACCGTACCGTTACTTTCCAGTTTGGCCGGAGTCGTAGAAGAGGCATCCTCAAGTAAAGTAGGAATCGCCAGTTAAGCACATTTATAAAGTAAAATTATTAGCCGGTTCCGAGTCTCAACTTTCGTAAAAGGACAGTCACTCGCATGCGACTCCCCTAAAGGGGGGAATGGAAAAGAGATAAAGAGACTAATTCTTTCACCTGAACCTGGAGTCGTCTTAGCCCTGCCATTAATGAGTCCCCCACAAGCCAGGCACTTACTTGTTGACTCTCCCAACCACCGAGTCCTGGACTTCTCCAAAGGCACGGGGCCACATGCAGCCTCCTCCACCCGCAGGGCGTGCCTACAAAGTGTATGCTGAACGGTCTGATGGCATGACGGTCCACAAATTCGCGAGGCCAACTGAATACTTTATGCATGCGCCAGCCGAGGCAGCAGACTGCTTGACCTATTTTGGTCAGGAACATAAACGCGTGGGATTCGGCCAAAAAACACACTCTACCGGGCCAGTTGGCGGGGTCCCGAATTTGCAACCGCCACCTCTGCCACCACCCCCTCCACGACGCCCTTCTACACCCCGTCGTACAACTTACTCAGCCTCGCCTGGTATACTCTCCTCTTTTAGGCCTCACCTGTACCCTGCCTCAATCCCTCATTTATTTTCCCCTCTACCTTCGGTCCTTTTCGACTGCACAGTCTCCGGGGTACAGTCGGGCAGGCAGGCGAGCACACACGCAAAAGTAGTCTCAGACACAGACACAGACACCGACTGCACATATTGCTACAATCCTATTGTATGGGAAAGAAATCATCATCCGCGTGGCCCATTGCGGGACGGAGGGGACTCGAAGGTGAAACGGAGCCAAAGCACCGAGAGACGGTTGACATACTCATAAAAACACAACACGA